AACTACAGAACAATTTATTGTAGATGTAGAGGATAGTCTGGAAGAACACATAGGATACTCACTTTTATTTTATTTTAATATCACGCGGATGGAGTCGCGGGCGAAAACTAGTATATTACAAGTAGTACGAACTCCCTCGAGTTTACGGAAAACCGATGAGAGTTTACTACAGTGAAAATAAGGCAGATGTTCCTCGATTTGGATGAAAATAAATCAGCAAGGTGATTGACACCAGTAAAACTTATAGAAATCTAAATTCGGAATATCTTTGGTCTGAAGACATTTGTGTACTCACGTTAAATATTAATGTTAGTTTGAAATTACGTACGTTTGTTGCGAGAGAAACTTTCGTTGATACTGTTTGCATTAACAATGCTTACAAGAATGTCTCTTTTAGGTAATGCAATCAAAATTGAGTAACAGTAACTTAGTCTAGCAGTAATCGAATTAGTCAGTGATTTTAGTTAAATACCACACAATGATATAAGAAATACATTATGCTTGTTTTTACCATAGTCAGTTTGAATCATGCTCGTAAGATATATTTCCTTAAGTAATCTTAATTTTAAATTATAACTAAAGTAAACGTACCAATAATTGATAGTAAGATCATTTTAAATACGATAAACATGTGGTTTTAACATTTGATGTGTAAACAACATGAAAAAAATTATCGGATATTTATTTGACATCAAATCCATGTAAATAAAACTATCAATTACAGCTTCACTATCGATTACTGGTACATTTACCTTTATTTGAATTAATTCGCCGTCTATTAGGAATTCTGAACAAAGAAATATTTTTCTCATCTCAATCAAAAGTATTTTCGCTGTCAATACAATTTGATACCATTATCAGCAACAAACATTTTTAATAATTTCAGTAAGTCTTTTTAGAGTCATCAAAAAGGAGAAAGGAAACATTTTTAATGATAACAATGTTTTCGTAATTAATTATACACGTATTTAAATATTAACACATAGACATACAAACATTTCTTAGTTTAGATATATTATTCGTTCATACAATTTACAGAAAGTAAAATAGAATCACCGGTACAGTCATCATGTTTCTCCTTATCCTACTCCCGTAGGGTCGGCACAACAGGTTTTTGTCCTCCACATAACAATCATACGTCATCTCAGTCAACACTCCCTTTTTGATCATGTCACCTTTTACGGAATCCATCCATCTCTTTTTATAGGTCTACCTCTACCGATGTACCCTTCCACTCTCTTATCTAACGTTCTCCTTGTAACATGCGATTCATCCCTCCTCATAACATGCCCATACCATGCTAACCATTTACTCTTTACCTTTTCTACTACTGGGTATACTCTCAAACTTCCTCTAATATACTCATTTCGTATCACCGGTACAGTCACGTACACATTTGATATACATGTTTTTATATTTATGGTTCGATTGTCTGTTTGTACTCTGTATGACCACAGCGCAGCCTTGTGATTAGTGCACCCATCGATCATCTTTACGTAACCTTTATGCGATTCTGAAGGATGACTTATATGAGAAACGTGACATTGCCTGTAAATAAAATTAACTCGTTTATTCTTTTGTAATAACTAGCTATCACCTGCGACTCCGTCCGTGCGAGATTAACAAAAAAAAAGAATTATTACCCTATGTGTTCTTAACAGTATGTTTTACGTCTAGTTTCAACGAGATACATTATTCCGTGCTGGATATAGCAAATAGCCATCCATTTGTTTAAACTTTCGCATTTATAACATTAGTAGCCAACTATTTTGAAGAATTTTCGATCAAATGTTCATTAAATATTAAAAAACCTTTCTTCGTATTGTAAAGGTTTCTGAAGGAAATCATACATTTGTATCTTGGTTTAAATCACTTATTTACTATAACCATATAGCATAGATTGTGTAGTAATTTTCCCAGTTCGAGACAGTTTGAAAGAGAACGTGTACTAAATATTTAGACAACATACACAGTGTCTGAGATCAATCGTTACGTTGTCAGTGCACTGCGCTCCGAACTTTCATGCGATACTCTGTGAATAATAATTGTAAGATATTGAGAAATTTACGCAGTTATATGTTTCTTTTGTTGTCTATATACATATGAATATGTATATGTACTTTTTATATAACGAATTAATTTTTAGAAGGCTTCGAAAAACATCATACTAATGTTTGTTAGAGTTTGTAGCCTAAACGGCTGAATGGATTTTGATGAAATTTGATATAGATATAGAGGATAGTCGGGAAGAACACATAGGCTACTTACTTAAAGCTAGTTTTATTAAAATTTTAAATGCTGCTAACGCATGTTTAGTTGCTCAGATATAGCAGACTAGCTTTCGCAGTCGCAGAATAAAAGAAAAACAAACCCTATGTGTTCTCCCAGACTATCCCCTACATCTATGCCAAATTTTATCGAGATCCCTTCAGCCGTTTAAGCTACAAACTCTAACAAACATTCATCTATCCGTCTATCCATCCATCTAAACTTTCGCATTTATAATATTAGCAAGATGTATGCGCTGCTCATTGGTCCCTCTTATAAAAAAGACTCAAGAAAGATTAACAAATCAAATTTAAATAAAGTAAAATATTTACTTAAATAAGCGTATTTATAATTAGTTATTTTTTTTTAAATTATGACTTGTAATTCGATTACCAATAAAATATTTGTATTTGTTCCAATTACTTCACATAACCTATACATTTCATTGATTATCATACTTGACAATTTTAAGTACCACTCGACTTGTTTAAGGAACTTACGTAATCTAACGAAGAGCTAAATGCAATGACTAAAAATGTAACTGGTAAAAGATAATTGCGTCGTGAAGTTAAAAAACATTAAAACACAAATCTGTGTGAGCACAATGATTGTTCTACGTTGAATACTAAATGCCACATCGTTTTGTTTTATTTGCATTTCTTTGTAACACGTAACACGTTGTCGGCCATTTTGTTGTTGGAATTAAATGTTGAGATTTGAAACAAGATAGTATGCAAAACAATTTTCTTTAATAATTTTTAACATTCTTTTAATTACTACGTACATATGCGCGTAGCCGGCATCGGGTCCCCTAGATCGTTTTAATTTTAGTTTCTCCTTTTTCTTTATACATGTGTGTGTGTGATGTAATATAATATGTATTGTTCTTGTAAATATCATATGTATAATATTCTGTTACATGAGTTAAATAAATTATTATTAAATGCATCGAATCTATTATTTCATCTATTCTACAAAATTAATAATTCAAATTATTTTTGTTTCGACTCTACTGTTACCTTTATAAGTCTCATATTTCCAAATTTCCTGTTGATTTATTTTAATACAAACCAGTGCAATACAATTGACTAGATAACCAGGTATTTATGACTATGTAAGGTTGCAATTATTTACTATACAATGTTTACCTCCATAAAATATAATACAAAGTGCGTTAAATCAGCAACGAATTATGCGTTAAACGGTAACTAACAACTTCAGGAAACTGAAATAGGTTTTGGTTATGACAGTCAGTTGTTTAAAATATAGTCTTAAGTAAAAAAGTTACTTTTTTCCTTATATGGTTTTGTTGAATTTACATAATGATTCTAATAACTTTTCCTTAAAACAAGAATAATGTTTGAAACGATTTCAAAGCACAGTATGGTTATTATCAACTAAATATATATCTCTAACTGACATAGGATAAATCAATCCATTTTTACTATTTATTAAAAAACACTTTATTAGTATGCGTTCTTAGACTATGGTTTATATCTATGCCAAATTTCAGCAAGATCTATAGAGTCGTTCTGGAGATACGTAGGAACAAACATCCATCCATTTACCTAAAACTTGGCATTTATAATATTAGTAACAAGTAAGATATTTAAATTTTTCCTTCGTATGTTCACTCGTTACTATATAGGTATAGGTCATATGTAAAATTGTATAGTTTTTATGTATTTAGTTCATGTCGTGATGTAATGATAACTGCCAGATCGTGCTCGACACCTTATCATCGTGTGACGGCTTGAGGTGAGCGTATGTTTACATTCTTATCTTACGTAGGTACGAGCAAGGCTTTCGCTAAATAAACGACCTTGAAAACTCTAAGCATTTGATATTTTTATATTATACTAGCTTTCGTCACCGTCCGCGTGGAATTAAAAAAACAAAACTATAGCCTATGTGTTCTACCAGACTATCCTCTACGTCTATGCCAAATTTAATCGAAATTCGTTCAGTCGTTTAGGAGGCAGACTCTAACAAATATCCATCCATATAAACTTTCGCATTTCTAATATTAGCATGAAGTAATAAATGGATGGATGGATGGATAGATGTTTGTTAGAGTTTGTAGCCTAAATGGCTGAACAGCTCTCGATGAAATATGCATAGATGTAGAGGATAATCTGGAAGAACACATAGGCTACTCACTTTTATTTTTAATACCTCGTGGACGGAGTCGCGGGCATCGGCTAGTATTTGAATAATTCTTGTTCGATTAGTTTAGAACTTATGTTCACTTCCGTAGATTTCAAATAGCGTTTGTATATGAACTATTGCTGTCTTTATTTTTGAAAAGAGAGTGAAAAGGACGGCTCCATATTAATACATATTCATAGTTTGTCGTATTGTCTCTTGAGCAAAAAAAAAAACCTTTCGATCGCATAGATAAATTGTTAATAGGAAAAGTTCATTGAAGTTCGCCGGCTTACTTATTATTTATTTAAAAAGAAATTTTATCAGCCGTCTTTTTAACTTTTAATAAGTCTAAAGGCACCTTCATAAAACTATATGCATTTATAAATTTCTTTCACGTTAATGAGCTACCGAGGAGTTTCACTTTTGAGTTTACGTACCGTAGCTGACTGCCTGTGTGCTCAACAAAAATATACTTCAACAAGAAATATTGACTTAGCCTTGTTTTCTATTTGAAACGCAACATATAACTAGTTATTAAGAAAAGGAAAAAAATTAAAACATATCTTTTATTTAAAAGACCTGATTGGCGTAGTGATTAAATATAAAATTACTATAAAATAGAAAACATTAACAGGAGAATTTTTATACTATAGATCCGACAAACATATCTCCTCTTGGTATGAATTAAATCATCTACACTAACTCATTAGCGACAATTATTATTCATGTGTCCTGTGTTCCGAGTTGTATTTACTGCAAGGAGGTGGAGCAGATAGTGGGCAGCACTTTGACGCCGTCTTTAGTGATGGTCTTCACTTGGAAGTTGGCTAAGTTCATGAACAGCCGCAGATGCACCTCTCGCACGCAGCACATCAGTACCTCGTATGCATTCTGCTCTGATAAATCTATAATTAAACAGAATTATTGTGACGAACACTTCATTTAACATATCAAGAAAATGTGTAAGAAGCAACGCTGGAAATTGCTTCACATACAAGGTGAACATTTAAACTAAACGCATGTCTATAGAATAGAGAAAGTTAGTTCGAACAACCTGATTTTCATTTAGACATAAATTTGGTTTATATTCAGGTCATAAGACAGTCTGTTTACAAACTCACCAGGTCTGTAGTAATGATCTAGGATGCCCCAGCTGAGGTATCCGCCAAGGCCGTGCGCGGCGTAAGGCACGCGCAGACAGGCCCCCAGAAAGTCCATAGTGTATAGCTGACATCCGCTCTCCTCATCGTATCCGGCCACCACAATGTTTAACATGTTTGGTGTCTACAATTGCAATAGTAGCCATGTAAAATCTATAAAGCCATAAGATCACGAGGAAAATATCCTAACAAGAAAGAAAAGTGCAAAAGTTATGTTCTTACTCCACTCAAAACAAAACACAATCAAAGCAGCGGCGGCAAAAATAATCTAAAATATAGGTGACCACCAACTGTTTGACGACTCGTGATTACTTCCATGCGTTTATTTTTATAGAACCCAGGAGGTTTCACGCCCAATTCTTGTACTGCGAAATTGTCATAAACATGGTAACACTCACTCCTTTCCTCAACGCCTCAAGCATGTTGGTTCTCGCGAAATGCGTGACGCAAGCCGTGTTCAGTCCATACTGGTTCTTCAGTTTATACAACTGAGCGTTCTTTGATACGAACTGAGCGAATTGCGTCGTGTCTCCCAAGTTACCGTTCAGTCCTATCAGTATTGTGTCTGATATTTCATGCAATTTGTTACCATCTAAAAACAGCAACACATTACTGGATCAGATTTAAAAATATAACCTAATTTGAATAGAAAAACACCTGAATACGTTAGGATTTGACGGGGATTCCCCCAGAAAAAGTTATCTCCGGCTGCGAGAAGCTGACAAGAAAGTCTGAGCCGAAGACAAAGGGACATAAGAAGTAGTCTTATTGACAGGAAATAGAAAATTGGCTTAAAAAATGTCTTGTCACTATAAGAAGATATAAAAATCTTAAGTGTCCTTGCATAGGTCCTTTTTATGTCTGTTATAATTAAGTAGTAATTAACATGATGATACGGAATACGGGGGCAAGTAAGCCGCACGCCGCACGGAGGCTGTGACCTTGCTAGAGCGTACCATTATCTATAAACTGATATTGTTTTTGTCGCTATTTAAAGATTGCACAGCAAGAGACGTTTCCAGTAAAATGTTAATTGTTTAACTAATAATAAAATAGTATAACCTCGTTTGAAAATTTGCTATGATTAGTTCTTATCTTACTAATATTATAAATACGAAAGTTTAGATGGATGGATGTTTGTAAGAATTTGAAGCCTAAACTTCTGAACGGATTTTGATGAAATTTGGCATAGACTTAGAGCATAGCTTGGAAAAACACATAAGCTACTTTAGTATTTTTATATCTTGCGAAAACTAGTACATAAATTATTATAATAGTTCAAGATACGTGATTTTCAATAACATGTAGCGGAGATTAATACGATATCTGACCAGTCTTTAATAATAAAACACTTTGAGCCAAAGTTTGGTCAGCTGCGATCATAACAAAATCCTGACATTGAATTCCGAGCAGGCATTGGAATAAAATTTCCGTCATTTTCACAAGGAGTAACGTTCTATCGACAAATTATGGTTAAAATCATAAATACCACTTCACAAATAAATAAAAATACTCGAAAAAAGATAGTAAATAAAATATACGGTTATAAAATTGTAAAAAGTGCCAAATGTAAATGTCATTTATTGACAATGTTCCTGTCTAAATGTAAAATAACAACTGAATAATCGTTTTGAAATAAAACAACACAAAAATCAGTTGTCGATTTTAATGAGGATTTCATACAGTTGTTATATATTTAATTACTCAGAAATGAAAACTATTCTTCTATTACTAACAGTTCATTCCGCCTCCATAACTCAATAGTTCGTAACGTCACCGCAACATACCGTGACTGTCAGCGCCAAAATGGCGGGAATCAAATAGACACAAAATATCACATCTTACATCCTGTCATATAGCGGTCAATGATCTGATTATTGTGCAAATATTCTTAAGAAATGTTTAGACGTAATTTACCAACACATATATATTTCAATATTTAGACAGAAACTATTGCAAATAACTGTTTTACGAATAAACATTTTACAATAAAATAACCTAACCAAAAAACGGTAATAACGAGTAAAAAAAATAAATTGTGATACATTTAAAATTCAAGATGGCGTAGCATACAGCAGTATTTCTCCGCAAGTTCACTTATGAAAGTAGATACGCACATTATCTTTACTACGTACACCATATAGCGTAGAAAAATAAATATTGACGAAGCATTACTAAACGACATTCTCACCTCTAAAATGATTCCAATAGAGATAATAGGGCCCCTTTTATTCGTAGTTTTCTTGAGTTTTCCTAGTCGATGTCACAGATCTGTTTAAATAGATAGCTTTGCTTGGAAACGGCAGCTATTGCTTCGTTCCAATTTAAATGTGACAATCTCTATTAGTAGTTCCAAGTCCCACCACCGCGACCAACAGCGACGTCAGTGCCAAGATGGCAAACATCAAATAGGCTCAAAACAACTTGCTCCACTAAACAACTGTTTTCTCATTATCTATCTTCTATACATATAATAAAATTGAAGTGTCTGTATGTAATATCAAATGACAAATTCCAGATTTCGAGAAGATGCATATTTGCGTGGCTGATAACAAAAATCACATAAAAAAAATTGTCTGTCTGTCCTCAAGCCTCGTTTGTTCTGGATAATCTCCGAAACCGCTGGACCGATTTCGATCGGACTTTTACTGAAGGTAGCTGACATAGACAGGCTTATTATACTTTTTTTATCTTAACATTGCATGGACGAAGTCGCGGGCAACAGCTAGTTTCTTAATAAATCAGAGTTAAATGCATCAATCTTATGGCAGTGCTTAAAACTCAAACCTTTCTAAAGGCATGTTAATATACTCAGTCGGAAGCTGGCGTGCAATCAAAACGTAGTTATATGAACTTTTCCATTGGACATCCAGTTAATGCAATTCCGGAGAGATCTGTCAGTTCTCGGGAGAGGCAAAACAATCTGTTGCGTAACTTGTTGTTTTTTTTACTTTCAATTGAGCTTTACAGAGCGCAGGTTTATAATGAAAGTTGACAGATCGCGGGCACAAGCATACACGGCTGTTTGTACAGCTAGCTGTCGCCCGTGACTCAGTCCGCTTATAATTAAAAAAGCAAGTAGCCTATGTGATCTTACAGACTATTCTCTACGTCTATGCCATATTTCATCGAGATCTGTTTAGCAGTTTAGGCTACAAACTCTAACATCCATCCATCTAAACTCTCACACTTAGATACATATATTATTAAGTATGAAGTATGATTCATTTGAGATATTAATTAACTAAACTTTCAAAGTATTTGTGTTACTTGCATTAAATAGAGTGTGTTGTTGACCATAATAATAGCAGACAAAATAATGTGGTTACTTCACAAGAATTCTGAATACTGTACTATTCATTTTATCAGATACTAGCTGTTCCCGAACGACTTCATTCGCATGAATTTATGAAAATTGTTTTATTCCTTACATGTGTCAAATTGTCAATTGCAAATATCAAAATTACATAACATGACAAAACTTGGCAATCTTGCTTCCTCGATGTTCGCAGCAACTTATGGTCTCTTTCCCACATTAGGGTTTTTATTCAAAATATTTACCCCTAAGTTTAATGGCGTGAAAATATATAGCCTTAAACCTGACTTAAGTATAGGGCTTTTTATTAAGAGAATAATTATTCAAAAATATGCTGTAATTGCTGAGATCTTAGGCAACAAAGAAGTATGTGTTTACGCTTTATGATAATAGTGTAGATATAAAGTTAAGATATCTAAGTTAAGCTACATTGGTGTATACCATTGTGTCACACCTGTTCCACTTAGTCACTCTTATGTAAGACTTAAATTTACTTATTTAACGATCAATTTATTGTTTTTTAAATTTTCGTTCCGCCGATAATTGCGCAAACAACCTGTCCTGATGCGGACACATACGGACCGCATCTGAAAGTATTTACGCGTTTTTTTTCGGAGTTACATAAAATACCGCCTCAATGAGACGTGTACCAATTTCATAAGTAACTTAAAACGCAATTTTATGTTATGTATTTTAAACGCATGTTTAGTATATTTTTAAAGTAAATCTACACTAATACTAATAAAGCGTAAACACACACTACTATGTGGCGTTGGACTTGTTGGATATTATTATTATAACTTAGAGGGTAAAAGAAACAATGAAATGATTTTTTTTATAATTTCACGCGTGTAAAGCTGCAGGGGAACAGCTAGTTCATCTATACTATTATAATAAAGCGTTAACACACACTTCTCATATTTATGAATAATTCTTTTTTAATCAGAAGTCCTAAACTTACGTCACGCTTTAGGCTATATATTTTCCCGCCATTAAACTTAGGGGTAAACAAATTGGAAAACTACAAGCTGCCAACATTAAGGAAGACAGGTTATTATAGTAACGGTAATTTTGACATTTGCAATTGAGAATTTGACTTATGTAAACAGTAAAATAAAGTTTACATAGTTTCATGCGGATGAAGCCACACGGGAACAGTCAGTAATAAATAAAATGTTTTTTCGCAATAAATATACTGTTACATAAATGTATCAATTATTCATTCAATTAAGAAAATAAACGAACTAATTCATTCATGTGCAACCTGCTTATCATTCATCATTCGAATGGTTGCATATTGTTCATTCGTTCATCTTGATGCAGCTCGTGGGAGTCTCCCGCGCGCCCTCTGCTGGGAACACGTGCTCATTCCCATTGGATATTGTTTCGCGTTTATCTAAAAGCTCGCGTTGGTAACGCCGAGGTCAATATTTGCGTGTATCGTGTGAAGATGTTGCAGATACAAGTTGGCAATACAAATTAGGAACAATAGTTGTAGAGTCAGATAGATTACGCCTAATCTCATAGTGGAAAATGATATTTACCGATTATTAGTTACTCAACCGAAAATAAAGCAAAGAACTTCTATAATTTCTCTCTTACTTTTAATTATAGAAAACTAGCTTTCGCCCGCGACTCCGTCTACGTGGTATTAAAAAAACCGAGTAGCCTACGTGTTCTTCCAGATTATCCTCTACATGTATGCCAAATTTCATTGAGATACGTTCAGCAGTTTAGGCTACAAACTCTAACAAACATCCATATCCATACATCCATCCATCTAAATTTTTACATTTATAATATTAGTATGAAGTATGAATCAACGCTATTTATTCAAGTTAAAATATAACTATCTTGACGGTGCAATACAACGACCACACAAATAGGTGCGTCTTGATCGAAAAATCTTAAAGTAAATATTTTATCTTTTGTTACAGATTCTATCATGGAGCCCACAGTCGCAAGTTAATTAATATACAAATTGGTGTTAAAGTGTATTACTTTACAATAGTGACATAATAAGTAACAATGCCCGACACACTCTCGCTGTCGGCCGGTGTAAGCCTGGGCCTGTTGGCTGGCATCGTATCTGGCGTCTGCTATCTCATGGCTAACGGAATAAACTGGCCTAGGTAAGTGTGCGTTTTAAAATACTTCCACAACATTCTATTGATTAATATTATTACAAACGCAACTTGTTTTGGTTTGTTCAGTTATAAAATAAAATAGTCCTTGAAGGAATATTCACAATGCAGTTAAAGTATTTTACAGCGACATCTAGTGACAAAAACAAAAACTAATAGAACATTGCTTTTATGGCTTCCAGTTTTTTAACAACAGATGGTGCTACGAGTTTGTAGTTTATAATAGTTTTTAATTTTTAGTACTTTCCGTTTATAGCGAAGATTTTATTGACACCGAAGAATTATAAAAAAAGCAAGTAATGAGCTCTGAAAGAGGATACCTTATATTACGCTGTCTAACAAAGCTTCTCGGGGATTGAGGAGTTTTTTGTTCGTAATGCCGCCACGAGCCCAACTGCAACCGCCTTTACGATCTGAAGATCTTAATAAGGTTAAAACTAATACAATTTCAATGTAATTTCGTTAAAAGGAAAGCGTTACCAATTCAAGTGAATTTTAATTTATGTAAGAGCTGTAAACAAATTCATTGGCACATAATGAGTATTCATTGTTGATACCAAGTTCATAATTGATTCGCGAATCCCGCGAGCGATCACTGTCACCTGTCAGCATAACAACAATGCGACAGCAGCGCCGCGGTGCGTTTGGAAACTGCATCCGAGCGTGACGACCCTGCGCCCGCGCCGCGCACATCGCAATTATTACAACCGAAAAACTATTTCTAAACGATGCTTCAGTTACACAAACCATAATCGCACGCCTATTTATTTTTTTATGTTGAAATATTTCTGAACAGAATATTGATATCGTTAAGAAAGTGAACATGCCGAAATAAACCCTGTATCATCCATAAAAAATACTCGAAACTCTTGTAAAATTATTGACGCTCAAGACTGTATTTTGACTGTATTTTCCGTTACTCTAAACTTATATGAGATACGAACATTCAAAAATTACAAAAAAAAAACGAACTTTTTCAACGAAAGTGCTCTATTTCGTAATGTATCATTTCTAGCTACTTTTATTCTTTTAATTTCGCTACGTTTGTCGGAACATGGTCACGTTTTTGGAATTCCTTTC